AATTCGTTCTAAAAAGGATGAAACACCTATTGCTAGATGGGTACATACATATTTTCTTTTTAACACGTTGTTAGTTGTTAACGTATTGTTATCTGTGAGGCAGGCAACTTTTGTCTTCAGAAAAAAAAAAAAAAAAGAAATTGACTGTAGTAATTATTTTTTTTTTGTTTGATTCGGAAAAGGACTCGAAGTTTGTGCGCTCGGTTTTTTCTAGGCGCTGCCTATGTAGTTGTGTAATTCAGTATTCACGTATTCATCGCCTGAACCATGAGTAATATTTAATGGTTACTGCCCAAGAAGACCCTATGTTTATTTCAGGGGGAGCAACTTATTGTATTAGCCACGTTTCTTTTCTAGTTTACCTTTATTCCCCCTTTTTCATTCAAGGCTAGTACAGTAAGATGCGTTAAGATAATGTATATTGCTATAATAATATATGTCAGCATCACCACACAACTGAACATTTTACGTATCATATGTTAGCTATTGCACAAATTTTGAATCCTAAATGGTAGAGCAATTTTCGAAAATAAGGTAAATTCAGGAATGTATAACTAATTAATATTGCAGTTAGACAGATTCAGAACATTAAAATTTAGAATTATCTTATTGTCTTTAGGGGTAAAGGATTTAAAGATCTACACTAGACCCTTCCACATATCAGATGCCCCTGTTTATATCACATCCTTTGGATGTGTTTACTGGAACTGATCTGTTGTAATCCGATACCGTACGCGTCCCTGTGATACAACAGAAACCTGAAGGTCAAGACTTTTGTCAATCAAGCTCATCATAATGAGGACAGACTGGGTGGTCGTTACAGACAAAGTCAGGACGGAGACAATTGTTGCTGTTCCAGCAAAAAACATTCCAGTACATGGGCCAGTGAAAAATAGATTCTCTTCTGTCTCGACAGGACAGTCAGCTTTCCAATCATGAAGATAATGTCGCGGATACAGAACGATTTATAGCATTTCGCATATCCATGTCCGCACAGAAAGTTCACAGTCTCTAAAGAGTAGTACATCTCTGCACCCCATTACAGAGTTTAATCTATCTTTAATATAATAACTTTTTGGAGCCCATAAAAAAATATCCACACTCATTTTTGCAAGTGTTTGCAGGTTTCAGTTTGCCTATACTTCCATCTAGTAGTCCTTCAAAACCGATACAGTCTATTAATCCATTGTTGGGCTGAGACAACCCGACACATGCAGTGCAGTTGTTTTGGTGAAAATATGGGGGGGGGGGTGATTGCAGTCAAGCTAATACCAAGGAACTCTAGTGAAATGTGACTAAAAACCTTAACGAAACCGGAAATCAGAACAAAAAAGTGCACAAAATAACGTTTAGGCCTGTAGCCTTACAGATTTGAATACTTCTCTTTGTTATCGTTGTGTAGTTCATTACATGTTCTAACATCAACAGAGATTAAACTGTAGCCATGCACCAGTCAGTCCCAGGGCAAAGATACATCGAGCCCAATATCCCGGTGAATGGCCACAGATTAAATGTTGTCAGAAAATTTACTTATCTAGGCAGCACCCTTTCACAGAGCGCCACAAATTAATGACGAAGTAAATCCAAAGATCTCTAGGGCTATCGTTGCCTTCGGTAGATTGTTAAAAAAAAATTTGGAACAGAAGTGGCATAACCCTGCAGACAAAGCTCAAAGTATATAGAGCAGGTGTATTAACTACACTGCTGTATGCATGTGAAACATGGACTGTATAACAGCGCCAGGCCAGAAAGTTAAATCGCTTTCACACAGTCTGCCTTAGAAAACTAATGTAGATCAGATGGCAAGACAAAGTACCTGATACCGTAGTCCTTGAGAATGCAGCCATGCCCAGCATCCACACACTACTGGTGCAGTATCAAATTCGTTGGGCTGATCATTCGTTTGCAGCCAAATGTGCACACAGTTTAAAATCGGCGAATCAGCCATGTGCACATGTGGACTGGCACCTGAGACAACAAACAGATCACGTCCTCCAAGACTGTCCCAAACACAACATACCAAGACAAAACTTATGGCCAAAAGAAACAACAGTGCAAGCCAATTTTTTCGTGTAGCTGAGTGAATTACAAAAGACAATGAAGTTCATACTAAAAATAACATTGCACATTGCAGATTTTTATGATCTATTTCGAGCGAACGAAAGAAGAAGAATGAAACGTAAAGAAAAGGGCAAATTGCATCAAAAGTAAACTTCGTGTTGGGATAATGCTTCTTTCTATATTTCTGAAGCCCAAAAATGTCAGAACAAGAGTTGCTCTACTAAATGTCGTCTAGGTGGCCAAGGGAACAGGACGCATATTTGAGGATGGCTTTGTGTAGTCTTTCACACAGTTTCTTGTTACAGGTTACACCGGTGTAAGATTTATTATCCTCTTTTTCATTGGTTGGTTTAACAGGCATTAAAAACAGCGCAACAGCGTAAAAACACAGCGCATATAAATAATGGTTCACGTAGCGTCCCAAAGAATAGGATCGCCCAGATGCGTATAGTTCAGCTGTAAGTCTAGCTGCTAGTCTATGGAAAATATAAACTCATTCACAATGGAACACAATTTCTATTAGGTCTTGTAGAGCGCTCTGTCAGACGTTTCTTGTGCTGCTCCACGATGGGATTAAATGAGTTCCCCGAGACCCGCTTGTTTATACACTTAGGCAGCCTAGCATGGGATAGGAAAGGGCATTTGGCTAACAATTGACTGTCCGGGTGAAAGTTTTGAAAATCTCGTCTAATACTGTGCTCTATCTACTGAGTCAGATACAGAAGAATGTCTAAAATCCCTACACGGTGAAAACAGCATTTTCAGTCATGTGGTTGTCCCAGATGTTTCAAAATTTTAGTATGACACTATCAGAACGGTCACGGTGAGCCAATATTTAGGGTGGCCATAAATCTCAGTGCTGGAATACGCCCACTGACCTCTGCGTCTATGGTTTATGTGTCTGTATCACGGGCACATTTTGGCACTTCATATATTTGAGAATGCCGCTTAAATCACATTTGTAGGCAATTATGAATCCCAAAGGCGTAGAACAATATTTCACTGCACGTCCGACAGAATAACGATTACAACGATATTGGAAATATCGTTAATTTACTGACACAAGTTGAATAAAACATCAATAAAACTACAAACTAGGGAAAAACACGTCGCCTCAGTAAGGAGTCAGTAGTCAGTATAATTTTCTAGATTGTCCATTGTGTTGGGCCGTGTGGCCCACTGGTTGACAGGAAGTCCTTACGTTCCACAGAGGGTGCTGTGGAAACTTTGTGTGTGTTCACCAATGTAGAGCTATGAGCAGGAGATTTCTAGAATACTGTTTGGCGGAGGGCTTAGTCACTTGTTTTACAAAGTGCCCTGGATAACTGGATGTTGCCCAGTGATACTTCAGCGAGTGACTGGGTAGCAGACCGGAGGTCTGGATTCATTTCACCAAGTGGTGCATCTACATTTGACCCTCTGGTGGCGGGAGTTCTTGGATGGAGAGCCGTCAGATGACAGTCACTGCACATCTCGTAGGTGTATCTGCACGATCGGGCATGGGTCGCCAGTAGCAGCCACCTGGACCTTGTTGGCAGGGGTGTTCTGTTCATGTCTGACGGCTGATGTTAGTATCTTGGGCAAGAGTGGTAGGCTGACAGTGTACAACTGATATAACAATAGACATGAAACAGAAAATGGATTGCAATGATGCATATAACAGGGTTAGATGTAATGTTTAACTGTTCACACTTATAGATATGAAGGCCAGTCCCTGTATCGTCAGATGGATTGCAGCTGTCCTGTATGAACGGCAGACTGCCTTTCGCTAAGGTCGGTGGAGCTCTAAACCATGTAGCACTGTCGTTTGCCTCCCACAGTTTTCCGTCATTTCCCCAGTGCTCAGCAATGAAAAAATCAACATGGTAGCGGCAATAAATGCAGTAGGAGTAGTGTTCTTCATTTTAGCTGACATATCTTAGTATATATACACAGGGAAGAAATAGAATAAAAAAAATTTCTAGAGAAGTGCCTTTCGCGGTAAATAAGGTATTTGAGTGGTGTGGGGAAACAGGAAACTGGGCCACTAAATCAGATAAGGCAGCAATAGTGTGATGTCCTTAAAATAATAGAATTATTATTAGAAATTTATTTCGAGACATCACAATAAACGACAGTAGCATAAAGAGAGATAATCCACTAAAATATCTGGGAATCACTTGCAAATACCAAGTAGCTCTAAAGATAGGAAAACGACTAAATGCCTTAAAAAAATTCTGCATTCACCCTACTAGGGACTACTAATCTTATCTCATACCAAAATATAAAAGCTGGAATGCATGCAAAATGGAGCTTTTCAAGTCATTGTGGGGTGTACATAAGACACGCCAGTTGTGTGCATGCGGCACATACTTGCATTGCCATCTTTAAATGAAAGATATATGGTTTTACTGGCGAAAATTTACCTCAGAGTGGCAACGGACCTGGAACTACTACTGCGTAAGGTATTGGGGGATAGCAAGGGACAGCGGCTGAAAAGAGGTGGCTCTTGGATGGCACAGGCAAATGTCACAATCAGAACGGATTGTCATACTGACAAGATAGTGTATGGTGAAGAACTGGTTACAGTACAGCCCAGCAAAACAGACCTACACCGACTGATATTTACCTTGGACCAAGGCTGCCGGGAATGGATAGCTGGTGAAAAGTGGTCGAAGGTGCAAGAGCTGATCAATGAAAATACACGCCTAGGTGATGGAGAAGGTGAATGAACAAACGATGGAGAAGGTGAGTGAGAAAAAGTTATGCAGAAGGTTAGTGAAGAAAAAACGGTGAAGTTGAGTGAAGAAATGAAAATAAATTACAAGATCAAACGCGCACTCGTTTTTTTTTTCTTGAACCATATTTATCTAGCGAAATGGGCGCACATTCTATCGAGAAGTTCATTTTGTTTGTGGTAGGTGACTTTGTCTAAAAGCACACTCACTCTATCCCTAGTGTTAGAGATCGATGCGGTATCCGCTCAAAGTGGCGTAGATTTCTTTTGCCTGCCCGAATAAATATGCTTGTCTGTGTGCCTTCACACAGACTGTGTCGTTTTCATTCAGCTGTAGAATCACTGTGTTTCCTGGGAAACAAACAAGGGATAGTCAGTGTACTGTACATATCATTCATAATGTAAACGTGTATATCTAAATCTCCCCCCCCCCCCTCTCTCTCTCTCTCACTATCTCTCTCTCTCTCTCTCTCTCTCTCTATATATATATATATATATATATATATATATATATATATATATATATATATATTCATTCATTCATTCATTCAGTAGCATGTCCCTCGCGGAACCTCGCTGCCATAACAACCCTCCGGAAAACCTTCCTATCCTGAGCAAGATGTCCTGCGTCTGATACACCCATCTGGAGATCATCTGCCACATCCTGCACCCATCTTCTCCTTGGCCTTCCTCTTCCTCTCTTCCCAGGCATATACCCCTCCATTATTGTTCTCTCTAGACTTCCATGACGTTTCAAGTGACCAAAATATTTCAATTTTCTTTGTTTTATTGTCTTTACTAGCCAACCCTCTTCAATATTCAGCTCTTGAAGTATGGATGCATTTGTTTATATATATATATATATATATATATATATATATATATATATATATATATATATATATATATATATGCATTCATTCATTTTATTTGGGTTGGGGGGAGGGGGTGGAGCATTATATGTCACAATAGGTTCGCAGTCTTTTCCTTCGTTCCGTTCTATCTGGTGCAAAGAATTCAATAATATGGTTGGAATCCAATCCAGTACATCTTGTCTCTCTCATCAACTTTCCTTTTAGGATTTCTTTTGGGCGTCCTCGTTTCCCCAATCCGGCTATTTTCCTATTCGAGTTTAATTTGGTGATTCTCTGCTGGTTTCTGCACACTATGTGTCTAATACAGCGCCATCATATTTGTTTTATAACTATTGTTACGACTCGCTGTGTAAACATCGCTCTTGATCGCAAACAAGATCGTTCACTGCTACTTGAGTAAGAATATGTGGCTTAGATGACGCACCAGGGCAGATGAATAAATCATCATAGGACGATAGGTATTTTTTGATCGGGTTTATATCTATTCTTGATATCAAACAACGATAAATGATGTGGAGAAGTTTTTATCGGTTCTTTTCTATTACAGTCAAACGCTGCGATGGAAACGTACGTTCAGAGGTTCTGGCACGGTAAGTCCTTCACCTGGTGCAATGGGTCGGAGTATAGGTTGTATATTCGGGTACAGTAAAGTCGTCTTTTTTCCTCCCCTCGGACCATTCCTGACACAGGTGGAAACTGCAGAAATAGCAGACATGTACGTGATTGTTGGGCGCTTTTCTAACCATAGGAACTGCAAATGTCATCGATTACTTTTTATCTTTCATTCACTTTAGAAGTTTTGTGACACAGTTACTGCAAGATGTGTGTGGGCTCAGGCATTATCATCATGGTCATAGATGCTGCATCCAGAAAAGTAAAAAGCAACCATACGTTGTTAGGGAAAGAGAAGAAGAGGCAGACCAAGAAAGACCTGGTTTCAGACCCTGACTGACTTGACAGGCCTCAGTGTGACGTAAAGGATGTGGTTTTAATGATTTATATGTTGAGTAGGGATTATCCTCTCAACACAACCCCTCCACCAGATTAACTGAACTAATATCCGAGCTATGTTGCTCTCAGACAAAGTCCTGGATATCCAAGAAAACAGCCATATTGGCTCGTTAATTACTTTAACATTAGCTGCACTTGATACCCACAAGAGAAGGAAAGGGGTTTTAGATGTCTATATCATTATATTGAATGAATTATTAGACAGGGCAAATGACCTCCCCCCCCCCCTCCCCCACCCGTCCCACCTTCTCCCGGTATTATTAATTTAAGAATTATTTTTATTTGAGCGCCCACCAAATGGTATTCTATCTTGACAGTTTAATTAAACATGTACGAACAGACAAATTTAGAATTCAAAAACTGATGCAGGATAAGACCATATATTTGATTTATTAACCTAGCAATCAGTGGATGACATTAGTCACCATTATTATTATAATAGACAATGATGGTATGGTGGTAATGAGAGGCTTCAGCTAGATAACTAAGCACCTAAGATTAGAGTGAAGTGATAATGGCGGTGATAAGTTTACACCCATAAAAACAAAATGGTACGTAACTTTATAACCTCTGACAGCCGTGAGTACTGTCAAGCTCTTCCACCTTTTCCTCCCAGTTCTCCTGGTTCCACCTGGTTCTCCCCCTCGTTCTCCACCTCGTTCCCACCTCATTCCCAGCTGGCCAAGTTCTAACACAACGTAGTCTCGTGTATGGACTGATCGTCACATGGCAGTTGTAATCATGGAAAAAAACACATACGTGTAGTATCTTGACTTACACTAAGAATACATGTATCAATTAATACAATATATAATAATAAAATAAATCTCATCACTCCTCATATTCCACATTCTCTGCAGCCTAGTCTGAAGGTCTTATGTCTTGTATTGAAGTCACATATCCTGCCTTCTTGCTCATGTTCTGTCATGATAGTTGACTTTCTAAGTCTGTTGTCCGTCATCACTCAGACTTCCAACTGGCTGACATTGATTTGACATAAACATGTGGTGCAGGTTATGTGCTGAACACGCAAAACATTGTATACGTGCATGCTGTCCTGAATATTATCTTTCAGTGACAGTGAATTCTATACACCATCATTCTTCCCCTTGGGTTATAAATCCCCTGTGTAGGTGGACACATTAAGTGAGCACATGGTGGGCACACAAAACGTAACATCATAGCTGCATGTGTGGGCATCATTTCCCACAGTCCAAACGCATGTTTTGGTTGATGGTTGAAAAATTATTTAATCCAGGTTGGCTAGATCCGCTATCACTACCGACGGTCAGCCTATGGATCATGCTGATATTATCAATGCCCTCAGAGAAATGGGAAGGAGAGAGGACTTTGGTGGCAGTGAGTCCACATCACTCGCCAGAATGGCAGACTTGGGAATTAAGATCGCACAGCAAAAAACGAGACGCACACCAGTCACGTCAGAAGACTTGTTAATCAACATAGAACTGGTGCTATTAGCCATCGGACGTTGGGTTTCATACTGAGGGGAGGATCTGAGCACCTATGGACATGTCCGGAGTGCAATGATGATAACCCTACTAACTAACTAACTAACATTATTTAATTACATTTCAGTATACAAGTCTTATTTTATAAACATGAAAACATACACTGAAAAACATGTGGCACAAACATTTAAGAAATAGGAATGGTTTAGCAGTTCCCTAATGGAGATACTGAATACTCACAAAGAACTATTTCAAGCAGAATATGTAGAAAAATTAGGAAAAGGCAGAAGAGGCCTTAGCTAACTCCTTAACCTATGTATACAAGATTGAAAATAATTGTACAAGCTTACCTGGGAACATTCCATCATTCGCCAAACCAGAATCAGACAGTAAGAATTACCCTTACGTCGATCTGTGATTGTTGCCGGCTGGCTGCGATGTGAATGAAGTAGCCCAGAGCTGTAGTATAACCTATCTGTCTGCAAGGTTAACTCCTCCCTTTACTAGGTTCTACTTGAGAAGATCTAAGCCACGCCCCTAAGGTACCTTGCAGATCAAATTAGCTGACAAGTGCCTGTCAATCAATTCCGGACAGACATCCCTCTATGAGCAACCATTCTTAAGTGGCCCAATCTAGTTTACACCTAATCTAACTGGCAGGTGTTAAAACTGTCCAGCGGACGCCGTCAGGTCTACCAGTCCACTTAATTCCCCTGATATGCTCTGTTTAAAAAGCCCCACTCAGTCTGTGTTATGTAAACTTTATGACACTAAGGTTCCGCTCATGAGAGATAATCTCAGGTGTGATAATTAGTTCCCAGTTTGCTTACCCTTACAGACTGGTCTGGAGATAATTTTATGACACTGGCACAGGTGAAACGAATTTCTAGCTCAGGTAAAGTTTTAGGTAATATTACACAAAGCGGGGTTGCTTTGTCTGGGCTAATGACTGGTAACAATTAAATCCCTGCGGATTTAATAATATTTGGGTTAAGGGCATAGTAAATAGATATCTTTGTCTCTCCATAAACAGAAGAAATTATTCCACGTACTAACTTCTGAAACCACTGAGATCGTTTCGTGACAGGTCCTCCGTTGAAGTTGGTCGTAGCCAGCTAAGACCAATGTTTCGACACTCCGTGATTTCCAAGAATGCTAGTACACCATGTCAGCTCCAGTATTGTCCCAGTATTTCCTTCGCCATTATTCCTTGTGGAATCGTGATATCCTGCATCGGTGTACAGTCACCAGTAATACCTCTTTCTAGGTTAAGTCCTTAGTCCTAGAATCATGCGGGTATTCCAAGCAGCCGCTCAGTAATATCCGTTTATCTGGAGGTTTCTTAACCACAGGATAATAAACGATCTCAGCTTCATCAAGGGGATTCCTCGACGCCGTTGACTGACAGTCGCTGTCCATTTCTTCACTTCGCCACGCCCTATCTGCATAGGAAGGGCCTGTAGTGCTCTCCGAAAATGATGAGTTGTAGTCAGGTTGGATTCTCTTTTCCTCCATTCACAGATCCAGGAAAAATCTGTAACAAAACGCCTCTTAAAATGAGGTATATATTCACTTATCATGATCCAACGAAGTGAGTGCAACTGACCACTGACGATTTCTTCGAAGAGTGTCCACTTGTTATCTCCTCGGTGCATCCTGTCTTCCACTTCACAAATTGCCCAGGTGGAAGTCTCTTTCCTAGAGTTCACTCCCGAATCAGGGCACAAAATCAAGTCAGGGTGTACAGTCAAATCATTAGGAAACGCAGATCTGTTAGGTTCAGTTAAGAACTGCTATCACAGCACTAGGGTATCTTTAGCAGCTATATTCGGTGCTGATAGTACCAGAGCAAGTCTGATTGTACAAGGTCCGAAAATTAAGTAATGATTTTATTATGGCCAAGACAAAAGTGCTATCTATGAAACAAAGCATGGTATCTAAAGAGGTAACCTCCATCTATTATCTGGCAAAGTTTCATATATAGGCAGTAAACAAACAAACCACTATTTTGTGAACCTAGTCAGAGGTGCGTTGTCACGTAATCAACATAAGCAAAAAACTGAGTTGAGTAGATTAAATAAGTGTATGGAAATAATTGTTTATCGTTTGCAAAGATTTTAGGTGGTATTTACGATTGAAAATTAGTGTGTAAATTAATTATAATGCAACTAGACCTGGATGCCCAATTTTTGTTCCTAATGAGGAATATATTGCAAAAGTCAGAGACGGGCACAAGAAGATTATTGTTTAACGGTGAGGATGATAACAGGTGAATTTGGGCTCAACAAAGAGATCACTGGTAAAAATTTAGTGAAACATTTGGAAAGAAAAAAAGTTACTTGCTGGTCTGTACCACAATCGTTGTCAGATGACCAAAAACATCATCGTGTTGAGAACGCAAAAGATATAATAAAAACGTATCACCGAAATAAGTAATTCTTTAATTTGATTGTTGCAGAGGATGGAACATGGATTTTCCGCTATGATCCCACAACTGAAAGCCAAAACGCTTATTGGGAGTCATTATCATCACCAAAAAGGGAGCCGGGGGGGGGGGGGGGGGACTGTCTTCAAAAGTCAGAAATGAAGACAATATTGATGTGCTTTTACGACATCAACGGAGTTATTCACGCACTATTATAAGAACAGCTTGCTAAACTTAATGTGATCAAGCGATAACAATTTCAGAAAGCCAAACAAGAATCAGAAACTAGCTGTACCCGATAGTTAAAGTCTTCGCCAACCATAACAATTGCCACTTCATCAATTGTTGGTGCATTGTACTGCTTTCATGTTGGCCAACTGGTGTTTTGTCAGCTCTGAGTACAACTCTGTAGTCATCAGCTGGCATTTGTTGAAGAGCAGTTCTGAAGAATCTAATTAATTTGTTGTGTTGATCAAATAAATTTTGTAAAGCAGCAACTATGTCTCGTTGTGTCCCCTTATTGAATCGACAACGTTGATTAATTTGTTCATCAGTGTTCCCCATGAAATAAATCTGAAGAAATTTGTAATCTGCGTCGGGCAGTGGTAGTAAGGAGCCAGCACGTTGATAAATCTGACCTTGCACTTTAAATGTCGGCATGTAATTCTCGAGCACAATATTCGTTGCACCAAATGATGTCATCTGGAAACACGAATTGTATTTGCGAATGTTTGCCAAGAAATGTTTCGACTGGCTTGTGTCACCTGCTACCAATGATGATAATGGTTCGGGTGGTGAATGTAATACTGGCAATTTAACTTTGCCACCAGCACAGCACATACCCAGCGTTTCATTCTTAAATTTTAAGGCACTGCAATGTACGCACACTTTATCCATTTTGCCAATAAGCACCTGCAGATGAAGATTGTAATCATAATTGATGTTGTAATGGAATGCACCAAGATTCAAATCAATATGTAGAGTTCGCCTGGATAAAGTAGTGCGCAACCGAACAGTTTCCAGTCTTGCTTTCCGTTGCTCGACTGTTTCTGATGAACGGACTTGAGCAGTGCGTACTCTATTGGTTTCCAATCTTGCTTCTCGATGCTCGTCTGACTGAGACGATCTGGCTTCAGCAGTACGCACTCAAACGTTTTCTATTCTTACTTTCCGTTGCTGGTCTGATTAAGATGAACGGGCTTCAGCAGTGCGCACTCGAATGGTTTCCAGTCTTACCTCACGTTGCTCGTCTGTTTCTGAAGCAATTAATGTCCTTCTCTTGCGTGTTTAAGGTGTAGATGGGCCAATCGCTTGTCGTTTGGGAGGCATAACTACAAATTTTGTGAGCGCTGATCATCAATAGCTTGTTCGTCCTCACGCACTGAATAAAATGTGACTTGAAGTATCGCTGAAATAAATGAAAATATGAGCATGAGATAACAATCTATTTTGACTCAAGAGGAAATGCATAGAAACTAGGCAGCGAATAGCAAGAAAAGACGGCATATAAGACAATATGAAAAAGGCAACAGATAATGTGCACACATTTATCATTGTGAGATTTAAGGAGTGGTCCACACATGTATTTGTGTATTGAAGTTTAAAAAATGTACATAATGACTGATGGACCAATGTGTATACATTTATCATTGATGGATTTAAGAAATGGTCCTCACTTGTTTGAAGTTAACAAAAACATGTACATAATGCATAATGACTGATGTCATATTTTTAGATTCTAACACTGACCTGAGACGGAATGTCGTGTAAATAAATATAATTCTTTTGAATAACAGCAGAATGACAACCAAAAATGTTGTACTACTTGTACTCATGAGTATGAGAAAGATGATATTGATAATGGTTAATGAAAATGTGTATACATTTATCATTGCGGGATTTAAGAAGTGGTCCACACTTGTTTAAAGTAAACAAAAAACATGTACATACTGACTAATGTTACTTAAATAAATGCGCTCACCTGTTTAGATATTTTTAGATTCTAACACTGACGTGAGACGGAACTTACTGACTAATGTTACTTAAATAAATGCGCTCACCTGTTTAGTTTGAAGTAAACAAAAAAACATGTACATACTGACTATTGTTACTGATATAAATACTCTTACCTTTTTAGACATTTCTAGATAACACAACGAAAAACCGCAGTCAATTGTTTTCTTTGTAATATAACACATAAATGTCGCGGGCGGATGTTGACGATGGAGCTCTACTACTGCGCATGCACGGTATGGTAAATCGATCGCACATGCGCATTAAGTAACGTCGCTATAATTAGATGTCTCTAAAAATATAAATATTAGTTTCGAATATATTTTCTTAAATTCTCGAAAACTATCTCTAACAGTGACAGGTTGAATTTCAAACCATGATGGGTAAACATCCGGTTTCAAAACAAGCATATCCTGAACCATGATGGTTCAACATCCGGTATCAAAACAAACATATCCTGAAAATTTCAGCTAAATCGGTTCAGTAGTTTCCGAGTCAGTAAGAGGCAAATAAACACACAAACATTGATATATATATATATATGACACAAGACACAACAAGCATAAGGACTGTAGACACAACAACCGCAAGGACAACACTCACCTGCCGAATCGAAGTCTTTATTTTGTCGAGCGAATGCGGAAATGACGTATTCATTATTGTGGAAAAGTTCCACCCAGAAGTCGTGTGAGCATTTAGTAGACGCGTGGATGTGAAATACGTAGATTCCAGCCTAGAGGAATGCATAGAAAAATAATAATGCAGAAGTAGGCCACAAACACATACTGTAGAAGTAGGCAATAGTCAAACACATCATGTAGAAGATGGCCACTTATAAACGCATAATGTTGAAATATTACCTATGGTTGTTCGTCCACACCTGGACTGCAGTCCTACTCCAGAACCTGAGTGTTGCGTGTGCATCAGTTTTACAGATCTTATTCACTTGAATGCAGACTGTTGGTTCATTGCCTCTCATGCAGATGCACTTCGACTTCAAAGGAAGTGTGCGTATATGTTCATGCATACAAATAGTTTATCATCTCAGTGATAAACTGTGTTTTTGAAACAAACAAAAAAAAAAAAAAAAAAACAGAAAAACAGAAAGAGGAGAAAAATGAGTCAAAGTGTTAAAGCAAAAGTCAGACTTTTTTACGGTTTTAAACACACCGAGCACGCAGTGCAGAGCTTTATTGGCGGCTTCAATAGGGATGACATGAAGAGATCTTTCTATAGTTACTTGCAGACGACACTGTCTAAAGATCCAGATTTTAAATGAGGAAATTCAAGAACTGATTCATGACAGTTCCCGCCCAACCTAGTGATTATCTTTAAGATAGCACTGTGTTGGGAAGCAAAAGATGTGATTGAGGGTATACTGCGAAAGCAAACGGTCAACGCCTAGTGCAGCAACGACTAGCTTATGATACTACAATACCTAGTTTTAGAATGGGAGTGGAGACATTCACAGTAGCTGTCCGTTAACTCAGCAGCTGACACAAGTCGTGATTGTAACAGATTCACTTAGCATGTTTGGAAAGAAAAAGACGGATATAATTCGTGCAGAGTAGTAAGCATCTCTTTAAAGTAAAGGGTAGTTAGCATCTTTTGAATCTTTTCTTCAGTAAATGCTGGTGTGTTGGTAAAATGAAAAGCAGACAGACTGTTTGGTTCTGTACCATTGGTGATAAACTATTGCATGACAAGCTAGATGTGCCCAAGGCTCTCTGGAAGCAAGTGAACACAACGGAGGCACACATGGGTCACCAGATAATGGTATAGTAGAGGAACATCATCAGCAAGTCTGTTCAACACTCTACTCTCAGAGAAAAGGCGAGACGGACACATAATCAGATTATTACTGGCATCATAGTTGCAAACACAATATTTCCAGAAAGTAAATCAAAGTAAAACTTCAATTATGCATGCTCTCAGGAAAAAATGGAAGACGTGTTAAAGAAAAATATCCCAGGCAAAAGCTGCATTTCGTTGTATGAATAATACTCTTTACAATATAACTCTTTCAATTGTCTAGAGGAAGAGAGTTTTACAGAAATACAGAGAGCCATTCCTCGTGTAGGTAAATGAATAGTGTGAAATTCTGAAGCTGCAGAGATCTGGTTTTAAAGCAGAATGACGAGAACACGATGGGCAGGCGGGGGGGGGGGGGGGGAGTTTAAAGACGTTTTGACAGAAATAAACTCACAAAAAATTACTAAATGAATCATCCGAGTTCAATGCACATTCTTTGAATATATGTCATAACATAGGGAAACTGAAGTACGTTGTGGCTGCAACACAGTTTCAACAAACGACACAAAGAGAAAGTACACATAATCTGTAAAAAATGTGCAGCAGTCAACCATATCTGGTCGAAACAGACGGACAACACTCACTAAATACAAAATCATTCAGATAAATGATGTGACACTGACAAACAATGGCACTCACGCTGGGACTTGTGAAGATACCAGTTAAGCTGTTGTAGCCACTGCCAACGTTGAGGAAAACCTTGTTAAAGATAAGAGCCTCGCCTCCTGGAACCTCGTCGTATTCATCCAAGCCGGTGGAGAAAGCCACGCATACCACTGTGAAATGAAAAATGAACTGTACGTTAACATTGGGTGGACGGTTGGACAGACAGACAGACAGACAGACTGACGGAAGGACGGACGAACAAACAGATAGACAGATAGATAGATAGATAGATAGATAGATAGATAGATAGATAGATAGATAGATAGATAGATAGATAGATAGATAGATAGACAACTTTTTTTTCAACGGGTTACAAATTAGGCACGCAGGCCTGTCTTACTTTCGACCCTTCCAAACTTCCATCATTCACACAGCAGTTGTATTTCATCAATAAAGCATGTTATATTCATGTAATAATATGCATATTATAAATATCAAGTCAAAAACAAAAGGATGGGTGGTAAAATATGTGCACATGCTCACGTGCTAATAAAAACCCCCACATACACACACAAACCCATTCACTCAATTACACACAAACACATAGACAGACAGACGGACAGGCGGACAGACAGACAGACAGACAGACAGACAGAAAGACAGACAGACAGACAGACAGACAGACAGACAGACAGACAGACAGACAGACAGACAGACAGACAGACAGACAGACAGACAGACAGACAGACAGACAGACAGACAGGTAGACAGACAGGTAGATAGATAGGTAGATAGATAGATAGATAGATAGATAGATAGATAGATAGATAGATAGATAGATAGATAGATAGATAGATAGATAGATAGATAGATAGATAGATAGATAGATAGATAGATAGATAGATAGATAGATAGATAGATAGATAGATAGATAGATAGATAGATAGATAGATAGATAGATAGATAGATAGATAGATAGATAGATAGATAGATAGATAGATAGATAGATAGATAGATAGATAGATAGATAGATAGATAGATTAGATAGATTAGATAGATTAGATAGATAGATAGATAGATAGATAGATAGATAGATAGATAGATAGATAGATAGATAGATAGATAGATAGATAGATAGATAGATAGATAGATAGATAGATAGATAGATAGATAGATAGATAGATAGATAGATAGATAGATAGATAGATAGATAGATAGATAGATAGATAGATAGATAGATAGATAGATAGATAGATAGATAGATAGATAGATAGATAGATAGATAGATAGATCGATCGATCGATAGATCGATCGATCGATAGATCGATCGATCGATAGATCGATAGATAGATAGATAGATAGATAGATAGATAGATAGATAGATAGATAGATAGATAGATAGATAGATAGATAGATAGATAGATAGATAGATAGATAGATAGATAGATAGATAGATAGATAGATAGATAGATAGATAGATAGATAGATAGATAGATAGATAGATAGATAGATAGATAGATAGATCGATCGATCGATAGATCGATCGATCGATAGATCGATCGATCGATAGATAGATAGATAGATAGATAGATAGATAGATAGATAGATAGATAGATAGATAGATAGATAGATAGATAGATTGATAGATAGATAGATAGATAGATAGATAGATAGATATAATGTTTTTTTCAAAGGTTTACAAATTGGTCACGCCGGCCCGTTTTACATTTGGCCTTCATAAACACCCATATTTCATACAGCAGTCGTATTTTATCAATAAAGCATGTAATGTATATATGATAATATGCATATGAATATCAAGAAGAATCACAAAAACATGGCGTGTAAAATGCATGCACACACTCGCGCGCGCAGCACACCCATACAGACACACACTGACTTACCCACACCCACATACATACACACACACACGCACACACATACATACATACATACATACATACATACATACATACATACATACATACATACATACATACATACATACATACATACATACATACATACATACATACATACATACATACATACATACATACATACATACATACATACATACATACATACATACATACATACATACATACATACATACATACATACATACATACATACATACATACATACATACATACATACATACATACATACATACATACATACATACATACATACATACATACATACATACATACATACATACATACATACATACATACATACATACATACATACATACATACATACATACATACATACATACATACATACATACATACATACATACATACATACATACATACATACATACATACATACATACATACATACATACATACATACATACATACATACATACATACATACATACATACATACATACATACATACATACATACATACATACATACATACATACATACATACATACATACATACATACACACACACACACACACACACACACATACATACATACATACATACATACATACATACATACATACATACATACATACATACATACATACATACATACATACATACATACATACATACATACATACATACATACATACATACATACATACATACATACATACATACATACATACATACATACATACATACATACATACATACATACATACATACATACATACATACATACATACATACATACATACATACATACATACATACATACATACATACATACATACATACATACATACATACATACATACATACATACATACATACATACATACATACATACATACATACATACATACATACATACATACATACATACATACATACATACATACATACATACATACATACATACATACATACATACATACATACATACATACATACATACATACATACATACATACATACATACATACATACATACATACATACATACATACATACATACATACATACATACATACATACATACATACATACATACATACATACATACATACATACATACATACATACATACATACATACATACATACATACATACATACATACATACATACATACATACATACATACATACATACATACATACATACATACATACATACATACATACATACATACATACATACATACATACATACCAATATAAACACACACATACATACAGGCATACACATACAAAGATACTGACACACATACAGAGACACCTAACACACAGACGCACATACATATACACAGACACACAGATACAAAAATCGATACACACACATAGAGACACACAGTCTCACACATACACGTAGACACACATGCAGTCATGTACACAGACACACGCACACATACGCAGAAACTCACGCAGACATATTCACACATAGAGTCATGTACACAAACAGACATGCACACAGACATACACCCAGACAAACTCACACAGACCAACACACAAAACACGCAGACAAACAAACAGACACACACACACACACACACACAATTACACACATACATGCATAGAAAAACACACAGAGAAACACCTACTAATACACAGACACACATTCAGACACACACACACACACACACACACACACACACATGCAAAAGCAAACAGACACACACACACACGAAAAAACACACACCGACATTTACACTTGGACACACAGAGACAAACACGCAGACCAACACATACACAGACATATGTCTAGACACCCACATAGATACCTACACAAGCAGACACGCACATATACACACACATATACACGCACACAGATTCCCATACTCATAGACACCACACACAAACACACACACATATACACATGCAGACACGCTCGCAGACAAACACACACGAAGACACACACACACAGACACAATCAAATACACAACAAAAACACATATGAACACACACACAAACACTCACTGACATATACACATAGACACACATAAACACACAGGCGCATACACAGACCAATATACACAGACATACACAGTGACACACAGTAACACAGAGACACACACACAAACTGTAGTTCCCATCAGTCATCCTAGTTCACGCACGGTCACTCATGATTTTCTCGTGCTGACCTGGTGGTCATCTCTCCGTCAGGCACGTACTAACAATATACCGACTCTATGGTGTATACCGTCCCATGACTGTACAAACAGGACTTTGTTCAAACAGTAGTCTACCCAGAGTCCTTTAGGGCATTTCGCCGTAACTGCCTTCACATGATCACGAAAGGACAGGCTTCTATCGATAATGATACCCAGGTTCCTCAGTTTGCTTTCTCTTTTGATGATACTGTTATTAACTGTGAGGCTTGGAACAATAATTCTTACAATTCTATTGTCCAGAAAGCACCAGAAAACAGCAGCCTTTTCTGAGTTTATGACAGTACCCATTTTTACGCAACACTAAGTCACTTTGTCTATTAAAACCTGCAGCACCTGTGCTATCCGTTTGCTATCACTCCCCCGCCTATATGCAAAAACATCATCGACACATATTATTATCCTTCCAACACCTGCTGTTTCAAGTTCTGCAGTCTGGCTCGTATACACTTTGAAAAGCACTGGTGAAATTGTAGAACCCTGGTGTAGCCACGGGGCGACATTAAATGGTTAGGAGGTCCATGTACCCAGTCAAAGCTCAACCATATGTAAATGCAGAATAGCTGCTATGCAGTTTACAAACCAGGGACTAACCTCCTTCTCTATGAGTGCAGATATCAAAATATCATATCTGACTATTTTGTAGGTATCCTCAAGATCAAATGCTGCCACAGCCGTCTCCGATCTGTTCTAGAACCCCTCATGAACATCAAAAGCTGCATTTTACCATGCATCATTCCGTTCCTGGTAACTACCGAAACCTTTTGGCAAAAGCTCTTCCCTTCCCAAAAACGTTTGTAATTTAACAGCAATCATTTCCTCTATCGCCTTGCTGAAAGTATTTTCTATGGTTATAAATTTGAACCCGCTGAATCTGGAATGATCTTTGCTTGGTTTTGGAAGTGCGTTGATTTGAACTGAGTTGAGAATTTGCATCATGCACCCAGGGCATTACCATGCGTGCTCGGTCCTCTTCTTCAGCAGCCAGCGCAGTGTTCCAGTACCAATTTCACCGGTTGCATTCTGCTTATATGTCCCTCTTGCCTTTCCTCTGAGTGTGGTGAGCCGGC